GAAAAATAATGGAAGCTATAGATCAATTTCACTTGTAGCTTCCTCAAAGAACTTAAATAGATTTGTTAAACAAGATCTAACTCTCCTAAATCCATGTTGGCTATCCTTTATAATGTTATTTGCATCTAGGTACTCTACCATTTTCACTTGAATTATAGCTTCCATTATTTTTCCAGTAATGCTAGTTAAACTGATTGGCCTATAGTTTGCTGGATTACTTCTATCCCCTTTTTTGAATATGGGTGTTAAATGGGTTATTTAGATTTCCACAGTGCTAGGATAGTGGAGGACTGTGAGTGTGTTTGCCAGGAGTTGGTTTCAGTGACTGTTACTCACAGATGGAGGCCAGTGCTGCTGGCTCCAGAGTGAGGAAGCACTTCATAGCCACAGACACCTTGGCCAGGTTCACCCTGAGAAGGAGAAAGACACCAGGCAGAATAAGGAAGGACCACAGCTGCCCAGACTAATGCATAAAACCCACAAGGCATCAAACACAGAGACAAAAGCCGCTTTCACTCATGAACTCTGGACATGGTCCAGAGAATCGCGTCCAGACGTTTTCCAGAGTTGCCCTTTCACACGTGGCACACAAGCAGAGATCGTCTGTATCAGACATGTTCACACCTACTAGAAATAGTTCCAATTTGTTTAGACAAGGAGTGATGCTTGGATAGATCATGTCAGAGGCAGGACATGATGCAAAAATTATGTTGTAGAGATCGCAGTGTTTTGCTTACAGCACATATCCGCAATGTCAGTGAAAGAATGGAAAGCAATATACAGGCAAGCAGAAAAGAGTCTGAACAGAGCCACAGAACATGGACAAAGTGTAAATGACCCTTTGTGTTAATGACCCTCCTTCCTTGCCCTCAAAATGTTTGTATTTTTCCATTTTTGTGCCAGTCGCATGACAGAAACATGATCAACACCCTACTCACTCGCGACAAATTCTCCGGAAAATTTCCTGCTCCATTCACACTAGTGTTGTAGTCAAGACCGCCTAAACCGAGACCAAGACATTGCAAAGACCGGAGGGTATCAAGACCAAGACACTGCCGAGACTTGAGGGTACCAAGACCAAGACCAAGTCCAAGACCAAGTCCAAGACACACTAAGGCGAGACCAAGACCGAAAACAGACTAGGACTAGAATCGACATCACATTACTCAGATCAACTGTAAAGAAAAAAGGCATTGCTGTAAAGAGTCATTACTCGTTAAATCAAATTCATGTTATCTTTTCAATTATATTGTCCATATGTCCATATGTCTCTCATTTAAAATCTCCCAGATTTGTCATAGTTACGA